ACAGTATTTATTGGTTAGCATAGATTTCATGATTTTTACAGTATTTATTGGTTAGCATAGATTTCATGATTTTTACAGTATTAAAAACAAAAATTTCTGTTACTTATGCAAATTACTACATGTTGCAACACAGATTCGCAATAGGAGGATCCTTTATCACTTAATTGACCTCCCGTATTGACTGTTGTGTTTTTCAATTTAATGCATCACTTTGGCTAGCCTGGGCTGTACTTTGTATAGTACATATATAAACTAATCTTTGCACTCTTTGCACAATTAATTGATTTTAGGAATAAATATATATATTTTTTTTTCTGTACAGTGTGTTGTATATTTCAATTCATCGATATGAACATGGATCATTTTGGCCACATTTATCAGATAGCGACTACCAATGTTGGCAAAGGCAAGGGAAGAGGGTTTACTATCAATATACCATGGAATAAGGTAAGTAATTTGCATATTATTTATGGAGGGTATGTTTTACCTTCTCAGTCATGTTTACAACCTTGCTATCACTGACAGTCAGTGTCTCTTATTATAATTCTTGTCACAGCTTTCAGTTGGAATTTCTCATTTTTGGATATCTTATAAAAGTATGATCAAACTTTTTGGGCTTGTGTCGATCAAGTTCAAACTTTTCACATACCGGTACATCAGACATTATATCGGACATATGCATATGAATTTCGATCTGATTCAAGATGGCCAAATGGCAGCCATTTTAAGGCAAAAAATATTTCAATTCACACATTTTCACCACTTTGGAACCCGATCTCAGTCATGCATTGATGGATTCTGTTCAAACTTGGTACATACATGTACGTTGAACATAATGCACTCCTATTTATTTTTTGGATTAGGTTCAAAATGGCCACTGGCAGCTATTTTTTTTCAAAAAATGCAGTTCTTGATCCATATATTCAACATGCCTGGATTAGTCAAGTTCAAACTTCACAAGTACATGAGACTTCCTATAGGACAAACACACATGCACATCCAAAATGGCTGAAAGGTGGCCATCTAGTTTAAATTAATGCATTTCCAAGTAACATTATGACATAGATCTGAACCAATCAAGTTTAAACTTCACACATTAGGTCATACATGTATCTCGCATATGTACTATATGATATAATTGAGGACTTTGTCACTGACAATGACTTCTTTTGATTAAATCTGTAGACTGGCATGGGTGATTCAGAATATATTGCTGCATTCCATCAAATAGTGTTACCAGTGGCTTATCAGGTGAGTCCATATAAGTGACTACTCACTATCTGGTTGTTTTTTAATTCAGAAATATTAATATCAATTTCTGTGATCATCAGATGAATTGTTCATTCTGTAAATATGATTATGAACTAAGATGCACATATTATATTTCAGTTTGATCCTGATGTTGTGTTGGTGTCAGCAGGATTTGATTCTGGACTTGGAGATCCAAAAGTAAGTGTACCACACCACGGCTACTCTGCAGACAGAACCACTTATAAACAGAACATTTATTTTCTTAATAATCCAACTAAAAACCTGTCTGGTCATCAGTTTTTCTGTCTATCAATCAATCCATATTTAGCTCTTGTAGGGAAACTCAACTAAAACTTGGGTATGCAACCTTGAAAATTTAATTTTACCTCTAAAACATTTTGTTGAATGTAAAATAACTGCCTTATCAGGTACAGTGACAACAGACACCCTAGGTAACTTTCATGTTAACAAATCATGTTATTTTGGAATATAATGTCACTCATTTACTCAAACCCAAATCCAAGCTTGAAAACAACTTTTGCATCATTCATTTTTCCTGATTTGATCATTTGAGAATGTTCATGAGAAAGAAATTTAATCAAAATTACTGTCCCTACAACCCCAGTGAAATTTAGGACTCCTTAAGACTCCAGTGAAAGTCACTGTAGCTCTCTAGGACCCCAGTGATAATCACTAACTAATGATTATTTTTACCTTTGAATGAATGCAGGGTGAGATGAATCTATCATCTGATGGCTTTGCTGTCATGACAACCATGTTAATGTCATTAGCTCAGGGAAAACTTGCTGTTGTGATGGAGGTAATGTTAATTTCAAAATAAGTTCACTTCATATTACTATTTGCCCCACTGACTGAATAATCTATGTGTAATGCAACGCTAAAAGTCATATTATCGACGTCATATTCCACTTGCTAAGGCTGAATACACTATGGTTCCAATTACTGAAGGTTAAGTTTGGACAAACATGAAGAAATGGTGTAAAATTACACAAGATTTCAATCAGACTTGGATAAAACTGAATTCATTATGGGGAAAATTGGGAAAACTTCACTGTAAATAATTAGCAGCCAGTACAAGTAATGATTGA